TTTCCAAGGAGAACCGTCTAAATACTAAGAGATACAATGTTAAAAATATTATGTTCTGCACCAGAGATAGAAAAGCAACGTTTTAGAAAGTTTGTTCTTTTTTGCAGGGACCTTTCATTTAATCCCCTGTGGGTCCCTGGAACTGTAAACACTCATAAAATCTCTGTTTACTTTATTGACTCTGTTGTGACATTTAAAACAGAACGCTAAAACTGCATGAGCAATTCTTCACAAAACATGCACATTAACAGGGATGGCTGCAGACAATGCCTTTGTACAAATTTAATCACATCTATTGGGTAAGTATTACACTGGCTCCTAGAGACAGCAATGTAATAAGTCCCTAGCCTGCCCCTCTAAACACTCCAATGGAGGTGGGAGCCACCCCCTACCCCCAACTCAGTCAAGATTATCAGTTCACATGGCGCCAGAGATTGGCGCCACCGCAGCAATTATCTCCAGGGAACTTGAGTCTCTTTATGAGAGGAGTAATCAAGAGGGTTGTTGAATGAGTCCCCTGATCTTGAGCAAGTCATCTCTCTGAGGTTTAGTTTCTACAACTGTCAAATTAAACAGCTGGAGTCAATAGATTAGCCCCAAGTTCTCCTCCAGTTCTGAGAGTCATAGATTCAAAGGATAAAGTTGTTCACAGCGCAGAGATGAGTGTACCACAGGCCAGCTTAGATGGGCTCTCCCACCGGTATGATTGTCCAGGTATCACAGGGCAGAAATAAGCCTTTCCAAATAAGTCATCCTTACCACTTTCAGCTTTTCGAGACTTGCCTTCAAATCTTCAATATTTACTGAGCTAAAAGCTTGTTCTCAAGAGGTTTTCCCAAGAACGCTGCAGCCAAGTAAGGAACTTCCGGGGATTTGCCAACTTAAGGAAAACATATTATGCACCATATATATCTATTAATTCATGTACTAAACAGAAAGCTCCCCATAAATGAGGTTTCTAGTAGCGAAAAGACTGAAAGTACTGTTTATCAGATATCCACTGGTTGAATTTTTTTTTTTATCCTCACCCGAGGACATTTTTCCCCTTTTTATTTAGATAGAGCAGGAGGGAGAGAGAGGAAGAGAGGGAGAGAGAGAAACATCAACGTGAAAGAGACACATCGAGTGGCTGCCACCCACACAACCCAACCAGGGCCGGGGACAAACTGCAACCGAGGTACATGCCCTTAGCGGGAATCGAACCCGGGTCTCTCTGGACCGCAGGCCAATGCTCCACTGGTTGAATTTAATGCTGATTGAGGTCTTATTATATATTGTCTCTTTCAAGTAACATAGAAAAGACAGTACATCTTGCCTGACCCATTTATTGAGCTTGATTTTAGACCTACCACCAACCTTCACATAAACACCTTACCCAAAAAATGGATTTGTAACTCCAACCCCTTAATTTTCATAACATATTTGCCTCAAAAGAAAAACCATTATAGAATTTTTAGGACATCCTAAAAAGCATTGACGTCCTGTAATCTGTTCTTTATCATCGACATTCAATCAGGAGAAAAGTAGCGTCAAATGCAACTCTATTATTCTATCCTGCAAGGTCAGTTCTAAAATACTATAGGATGGTCTTGAACCATGTGACACTTTTAAATGCATTTAAAATTTTCTGTCTTGATATTTTCTGACTCTAATATACTGACTACCGTTGCCAAGGTAATATGACTTAGGGTGATATATGGATCCAAAGGGGCTTTGTGGTTTAAAAAATATATATATATATATATATACACACACAAGACAAAAGTGGAAAGATCAAATATGGAGAACAAATTTAGCCCTTTTCCTCTTCAAAATGCATGAAATACATATCCGCATGCTACATCTCTGATTAAAAAGTACGAAGATTCCTGAAGTGACTTCCCCAACTAGTGAAGAGACTTTCTCCTAATCAGTTAAGTTGATACCATCAGAGTACCCTTCTCATTCTGTCTGGGAATCAGATTCCTGTGAAAGTATGCGACTTTGATTGCACACAACATGAGCTGCTCACCTGCAATATGTTTACTTCCAAATGAAAAATCCTTTTTTTATGAGACTAAAGGTGGCTATAATGGTCCGGAGTATTATATTTCAGGGAGCTTGTGAGATGAAGACAGAAAAAAGGCATGGTGCAAACCATATAAATACATTCGTTGGGTTCCAAAAGATTCAAATACAGGTGAAAATTAAGATTCCACCATTAGCCCATTTTGTTTCTCCATAATTACTGATTCTAGTCAGTATAACCTTAGGGTTTCAGTCACGGTGGTGGACTCAGTCTGAAGATGGGAACAGTCAAAGCTTCTATTTGCTGAAATACTATATAAAACTTCTCTGGAAACAGATATATCTTTGCTTCCTACTAACTGAAATGAGGTATTTTTAAAGAAAAAAATCCACAAGCAGATCAAGAAACACTTTAATTCAAGACACTCTTTAATTAAAAGCAGGGTCCCCTTAAGATAAACCAATGATTCAAGCAAAATACCATGTTGCTACCAGATAGGTGAAGATAAACATTAGTCTTTTTTTTATTATTATTGTTGAAAGTATTACAGATGTCCCCTTTTTTTCCCCATTGACTTTCTCCTTTCTGCTCCCACCCCCTCCTGCTTTCCCCAACCTAACGTCTGTGTCCATTGGCTGTGCATATATGCATATAAGTTCTTTGGTTTATCTCTTCCCAACCCCCCCCCCCCAACCCAATCCCTCTGAGGTCTATTAGTCTTTTAAGCACAATTTTTAAAAAAAGAATTCACAAACATCAGGGAAACTACTTTTAAAGAAACATTTAGAAGCTCTAGTAAAGTGATTGACCCACACTGGACCCACCTGTGCCTGCTCGCAATAAAGCATCCTGGGAGTATGTCTGGGAGAAGGAAAAGCAAGCTGGCCACTCAAAGAGAGGAACAGGTCTGGCAGCAGTGAGACCTTTGGTTCCATTATAGACATGCTCTCACCCAACCATTCAAAACTGCCCAGGATTCGACATCCACTCCTGCTACGAACAAATACTCCCTTTAATGTAATGACCAGGGGAAATCACCTAGTTTTGATGCAGTTTGAGTTCGATACTGTTAGAATCCTCCCATCAGAGGCAAATGAAGACAATCTGACCTTTATTAGTACCCACTATTAACACAAGTGTCCAAGCTGTATTTGCCAATCCTCCTATTTTTATCCACCTCCCTACATGTGAGCACCTCTAACCTACTCTGAGCTCAGACCCCTGATCTGCTAGAGGGATTGTGTCCGTCTTTAAAAATGGACAGGCAAATAAAACGAGCCTAACCTAGAGGCAGCAGCTCAGAAAGGGAAATGAAAACATCAAGTTATCTAATCGCAGTCATAGCCCTTCTGAGCTCTGTCTTATCTGCTGGTAATAAAAAGAAATGGGACCTTTCTAAACTTAAAGGGCATAAAATAAAATGAGGAAAGATGTTGTTTCTCTCTGGCTCAGGGTGGGGGTGGGGACGCTACGCAGTTTAACCAGTGTATCCTAACTACAAAACATTGTCATGGATTCAAAACACCTAAGCTCTACAAAAGTTGGGTTTTTATTGGGGGGGGGGGTTGCTTGAGAATAGGAATTGCTAAGACAGCAGTAGAAAGAAGTGAGAAGAAAATAATATTTCATTTGAAGTTAAAGTAGTTTTGTCAGAAAAGCAGGGTTTAATCTTAGTTTCAGGAGAACACTTTTAAGTACCTTGGACAGCTAAAAAACGCTGTTTAGGAAACCGAAAACCAAGTGAGCCAAGAACAACCAGAGCAATGCTTTCAAAATTCTTGGCAAAGCAGCAAGAGGGTGAAGTTGGTTTTGCATAGTTTTGAACACGGGTGTAAAGGAGCAGAGATCCTCCCAAAGGCACTGAAATTCTCTGGCATCAGTGGGTCAGCTGGGGCAGGGCGGGGAGGGGCTCTCGGTTATTTCTCTCGCAAAGTTTCCCTAGGCACTCTCCCCTCTCGCTCTTCTTTCCTCCCTCCATCTCCGGAACCCCCAAATGTGCACTTCAGTTGTTCGTTTTGCCCAGGGATCGTCAAGTCTGCAGCCTGCGATTTCTCTAGGAGCCTGACAAGTTCTGGGACTGGAAGCCAGTCTCGCAAGGCCGCCGGGGGCGCGGTCGGGTCTGGAAGGCAGGATAAAACCAGACCTGAAGCCCACCCACTTCCTTCAAGGGGAAGAAGGAGTGCATCTTCTTCCTAAGAGCATCTCGCAGGCTTCACCTTCTCCTCACCGGATGGTCATCAACACTCACGTGACTTCACGTGCACGACGTCCTAATTGTCTCCCTGGATTCCGCCCTAACAATCCTGGGGCGTCTGTGACACCACATATCCCTACCCAGCTGTGGCTAGTGCTTCAGTCCCTCTAGTCCTATCCCACCTGTCCTCTCGTCCCCCTGGCTACTTAACAGAGGAAGGAGTGCTGAAGAACTTGGCTGAACCAAGGGACTTGCAAGCCTATTGATTCGTTCTAAGCCCGGGAGCCCCGGGCGCAATTACAGAGTATTGGGACCTATTCTAAGGGGGTTGGAGAGGAGGCTGAATCCCCCCGCAGCTAGGTGAAGCCCCTGGAAACCGCCGCGGTTCCCCAGAGCTCTCTCGCCGTCAGAGGGAAAGCTGCAACTTCAGCCAGGACTCTGCTCCCCTCCTCCCCGATGTCTATTACAGTACTGCCCTGCCCCCCGCACGACTTCCAGGACTGGCCACTCCGCAGCTGCCCCGAGGTCCCCCTCGGCGCTGCCTCCCCGGCCACGCGCCCCACCCTACCTGAGCCAGCTGGGCGAATGTCAGAAGGCGAGACGTCGGGATCCAAGTTCCCGTGCACGAGAGGCTACGCTGGTCGCCAATTCTTAAAACAACAGCAGCGAGGATAAACAAGCACATCTGAGCGGAAACCAGTGCATCTCAAAAGTTGGTCTTACTACGCAGCAGCCCCAGCACACTTTGCAATCCCAGCGCCCTGGGAACACGGGAATGCAGAGTTGGCATTTACTTACCTGGGTGTGCCAACCTCGAGGAGTCGAAAGAGAATTCGGCCCGGGACTGGTCTGTCCCACCCCCAGGAGGCAAAATCCGGCTTTGGAGTGGAGGTGGTTGGTGTGTGGTTGTGGAGTGGTGTAAGGGGGTCGGACTTCCCTCCCCCTCGTCCTCTGAGGCCAGTTTAAAAACAGCAGATGAAAGAGATGCTGGGAGGAGAGTTTGGTCTCTCCGGAAACCCTGACTCCATTCTTGGTGATGGGGGCTGGGGAAAGGTGAATTGTTGGGGGTAGCAGCGAGGCTCTCAGTGAACTCAGAGAGTAAAGTGGAAGGTACTGGGGGAAAGGAGGGAGCGGAGAGCCAGGGAGGGAGGGAGGAAGAGTAGGGCAGGCGAGCGGGTGGCGGGGAGATGGCAGCTTCTCAGAGAGATTTCCACCTTCTGACGAAACCCATGCGCCCAGCAACCCGCGAGATACTAGTTCGGAAACCTCCGCGCGAGCGCCCCCTGGGGGGTTCCGGCGGACGTGAGCACTGCCCCGGGCACGCGAGGCCCCGCGGCCCCGCCCCGAGCTGGCGGGTGGGGCGCTGGGTGGTCTTGTGGCTTCCACGGTCCAGGCTTCCTGCTCAGCTCTGTCGCTCACACCCGGCTCCTGGGGACATTAAATTCAGTTCTCCACTTGGGGGCAAAGCGGTAAGATCTGCGAAGGGGTGGGGCTGATTTTTTTGCACACATTCAAGGAAACTTCTTGGATGCATGTTCGACTCCCACCAAAAATGGTGAAGAAATCGCTCACCTCCTTATATGGTAGGAACCCTTATATGATAGCTATTTTTTAGTGTCTACAAGAGTGCCTGGCATGTGGTAGGAGCCCGATAATTTTTTTGTTGTTGTTAAGTAAATGCATGAATAAATGAATGGACAACCAGGCTTTTTGGTTATCCCATACTGTCTTGCTAACTTCACCCACCTCACCAATAAGGTTTTAAAAACGGTCAGGGAGTACTTATGTTTAAAAATAGACATAAACCTGCTGTCTTGTGGATGGGGAACCACGGCCTCCTGCCATGAAGCACTTTAGAAAGAAAGTGTGGCTTTCCTGTTCCAAACTTATTCAGTGAAATTCAGACACATGAGCAGTGGGGGAACATATTGTGTCTGATGGTTTCTGCGATGGAAGATACACTAGCCAACTCAGCATATAAATATTGTCAGAATCACAAGTTGGACTTCAGAATCCATAGGGTTCAGAAAAGACTCTCTGACCTGAGATGACATGGAGGATGTCACAATCTAATGTGGACGGGAATACAGGGAGCTAGGAGGGTCTTCACTCCGTCCTCTTAAGACGCCATCTGACAAGACTCTCTTCATGGAAAGAGGTTATCAGCCAGGAGCCTCTCACCAACCACAGAGCTCTCAATTTCAAAGTCAGCAGAGAAATAAGAGGAAGAGGGGCAGGCGCCCCACTAATGGCTCTAGGGTGGCAATTAGGAAGATCTTTGAGAAGAAGAAGAAACACCTTCAGAAAAAAAATAATAATAATAACGTTTTTCTTCCCCCAAGTCACCTCTCAAGACCTTCTGAAGTAGGATAACATTAAATATGGTCCCTAGAAAGGATCTTGGAGAGCTTGTCTGTTTACTGCAGCTCCTTTGATTTGTCTGGATTGGAAAACTTGGGTCATGTGGTTAAGCACATGCCAATCATTGTGGCCTTCGGCTATGGGATTACACTGCTGGGCCAGGCCTTCCACTGTGTCGGGGAGCCTTCAGTGTGCCCCGTATCCCTCGTGGAGCCGGGGTGGAGCCGCACCTGATTCACATCGAGAGTAAAACCCAAGGGAGGTTCCCCAGAGTAAAGTCAGGGTCCTCCTACCAAGAAAGGGGAGAAGGATGCTGGCCAGACAAAATCAGCACACGTCTATTAAATATAAAAGTGTTAAATCAGAAAATATTTCTTTCAGGTTTAATGAAGAAGTAGCCTCCAAGATGAGTTTAAAGTTTGAGATGGATTGAACTTACAAGGATGAAAAGAAGGAAAAGGAAAGTCATTAATCATCTCTTTGCACGTTGCCTGTGTCCTCTGAAACCGAAGTCCCATGAGGGCAGGTGGTAGCCTGTTCTGTTGTCTCGTTCATGACTGTAACCCCAATGTCTAACGCAATGCGCGTCACTTAGCAAGTTGTCAACAAACATTTGTTAAATTAAATTTTTAAAAATACATTCAAGATCATTTAACACAAACCTCTTCTTTTATAGGTAAGAGAAAAAGAATTAAGATGCTGAGCATGGACAGTTTCCAGGCAATCTGGTAGGCGCTCTATTGACCATCTCATTTAATTTTTTCAACAACTTACCCAAGTAGGTTTTATTATATCTACAAAAGCAAACAAATACATACAAACAAACGGGGGAGGGGGTTAGGTTGTCAGGATAATCGCACCAGGGAACACATGTAGTTAACGGGAGAACCCAGAGTGCTAATTGAGGCAGGCTCTGCAGGATTAACTCAGAGTAACTGGACATGAACCTGAGAACAGACGTAATAGAGTCGGAACCCACAGGGAAGAATCTAGTACAATAATGTTTGTTCTCCCATGTCAAAAGCACAGACACACAAACTAGATGCAACGCTACAACTTGAGACAAATATGATTTCCTCTGCTAGCAGCCTTCAGCTCCCTAATTAGAAACAAACAGTCGCCTGCAAGCCGGTGAGCAGAACACACACGCAGCTTTATGCCAGAAACTTAGGGTTTTTTCTCAAGGCATGACACTGAAGGTAAATTCAAAGAGGCACTCAAAGCAGAATTTACTCCCACCTCTCACATGAAACCAACAGCTCATCTCGTCAAATGAAGATATAGAACCAGTTAATAAACTATGGTCTCAATCATTGAGCCCACAGCGAGCTGCTCACCCGCTAGAGTCCCTTCAATAACTCTGACATCAAAATCCCCTTATCTGTATCCCTCACCTCCTTCCGGCTCTCCTCTTCGTGGATTCTGAGTTGCTGGGTTCTACAGCCATAGTCAAGATGATCTCGAGCCACAGTGCCACTGGCGTTCCCAAGCCGCAAAGGAGGCTCCAGCTCCGGGTAGATTCCCTAGCCCGGTCTCTGTTTAATAACATAAGGGGAGGCATCCGCTCGCTGTCCTATGCCAATATGAAAGGCACCTCACCCATCAGTGTGACAAGTGAAATGCTGGAATGGAGCCAGGGAACAAGAGGGAAGAAACGTGGATTCTTCCCAAGGCAGTTGACACTGTTTTTTAAAGGGTAGCAGATGATGAAGGGGAAAAACAGGCAGAGAGTTGGTGCCCTGCGTTAAAAACCTTGGATCCTTCCCTGAATGAGTCAGGATGAGCATTTTATTTTGTAATTGAATTTCTGTTTTCTTTCTTTTTTCTTTTTTTTGGGGGCTGTAGGATGGTTACACACTCAACTAGTCAAGGGGATTGCTGTAAATAACAGGATTTATTTTTGAGGCTTTGGATCAAATAAGAACCTTGAATTTCTTCCTGGGGTTATTTATAGCTCAAACTGTGTTTTGTTTTCTGTTTTGTGTGATTTTGAAAATTGACTGATAAGTCTTCCTCTGGTGTGTGTGTTTGTGTGTGTGTGTGAGGTGGGTTGTTACTGGAAAGCAGAGAGCAGCGCTCTAAGAAAGCCCTTCTAAGGTGCTCAGAGTCGAAAAAGAACTAACACACCTGTTCCAAGCTGATGCAGGCGACACACCCTCCACTGTCTGTCATTCTTCTCTGTGGAGAACCTACATAACCCCTGGTGTATCTTAAACCATCACTGACAAGCTATGCCAGGAAGGGGTGCCTTATACCGTTGCCTACCAATAGGTGGCATTAAAATCCCTCTAGCTTTTCTTCATTGCATTTTTGAAAACCATAGGCAGAGAGCACTTTCTTTCTGAGATTTTACATTTGCCCATTGGTGATATTTTAGACACCAAATCAGCTCTGTTATTTTAGAGCAAATTATTTCATTTATCTCTTAATTAGGCCTCTCAGTCACCCCTCTCAGCCTCCGTTTCCTCATTGTGAAAAGAAGGTATTTTGAATTGAACTCTGTCTCTGGGATTCTGGTTTTCATGTACAAACTGTCTGCTCAGCCACACCACCCCTCGTGTTTGTGATAGACTCATGAAGACGCCATTCCTTTGGGTTTAAGGAATGTAAGCATGCAGCTCTTACTGTGTGGCAGAGGCTGCTGTCTGCCTGGCCTATATTCATTTGTGTTTGTTTTTCCTTATTAAGAATAGCACAGTTTTGTGGGAGGTAGCAATGTGCTCAGCCCCAAACCCACATTTCCCAGCCTTGCTTGCAGATGGGGTAGTCATGTGACAAAGATCTAACCATGCACTGTCTGATATGGTAGCCACTAGACACATGTAGCTACTTAAATTTAAATTTACTGAAATTAAGTAAAATATAAAATTTGTTTCCTCAGTGACACTAGCCACATTTTATTTTTTAAAATATGTTTTTATTGATTTTAGAGAGAGAGAAAGAGAGAGAAAAATATTGATGTTAGATCTGCTGCCTCCTGCACGCTCCCTGCTGGGGATTGAGCCTGAAACCTGGGCATGTACTGCGATGGGGAATCAAACTAGTAACCTTTTGGTACATAGGATGATACTCAATCACTGAGCCACACTGGCCAGGGCACACTAAACATTTAAATGCTAAAAGTTACCCTACTTCTATGTCTCGGGGTCTATTTTGTTCATCACGTTATTTTGATCATTATATTCCACAAATAAGTGAGATTATGTGATACTTGTCTTTCTCTAACTGGTTTATTTTGCTTAGCATAATAGGGTTCAGACTGACAAACTTCAGAGGACGGGGTGGTGGGGAGGGAAGAGATAAACCAAAGAACTTATGCATATAAGCAAAATCAATGGACATAGACAACAATGCTGGGGGTGGGGGTGGGAACGAGAGGAGGGTGTCAATGGGGGAAAAAGGAGAAACATCTGTAACAAAAATAAATTAATTAAATGAATTTTAAAAACTAAAAATAATAATAATAAATGCTAGAAGTTCCAAGTGGCTAGTAGCTACCATCTTGGAGAGATCTGATTGAGAACATTTCTAGCATCACCTAAAGTCCTGCTGTATGTGCTGGTCTAGCCATTAAGATCGCAATGGAAGTTATAGAGCAGTTTCAATGATCATCTTAAAAGGGAGGGAGATACTGACTCAGCTGGCCTGTACCTTTATCCCTTTCCCCCTCCCTTCTTTCTTCCTGAAGGTGGATAAGCCATCATGTGACTCTGAAGCAGCAAGCATTTGCTAAAGCAGGGTAAGTAGAAAGATGAAAGGAACCCGAGTGTGTTGATATCATGAAGACAAGCACATTATCATCAATTTTATTATGGGGAAAATAAGGCCACCAGTTGAGTCAAGCCATTATTTTCAGCTTTG